GAGAGAGAGAGACAGAGAGAGAGTGAGAGAGAGGGAGAGAGAAAGAAAGAAAGAGAGAAAGAGAGAGATAGAGAGAGAGAGAGAGATAGAGAGAGAGAGAATGCTCTCACGAGCATGCGCGGGGGTGGGGGGTAATATTATTGTTCAGTTCGTTTCATGTAGAATTTTTCAATTCTTCACATGTTATGTGGAAGCATGTGGCCACTGGTGTTAAAATAAATTAATTTCTTTCGACAACAGAATAAGGGGACCAAGACAAGTGACCTGGAATGAAATGGGGAAATCCTCTCTGCTGACCCATTCATGAAGGCACCCTGCCAAGATTTGAAAGACCATGTAACAAAACGAGACATATTGGAGACAAAATTCAAAAATTTAAATTTAAATGTAAATAAAAACATACGTCATGAAATGAAATCTTGGTAGTTAGCCCTAATTCATAGTACTTTTTACGTATATAATGTGATGTGCATATCTTCAACGATTAAGTTGTGATTGTATGAATGTGTGCTCATGTGTTAGCGTTAATTCAAAAAGATATATGTACGTATGTATGCACGCTCAAACGCATGTATATTTTTTGTCTTAACATGAAATTAACATTTAAAGTGTCCAAAGCTGAATTATCTTGTAAGTAAAAAAAAACAAACAAAAACAAAAACAAAAACAAACCAACAACTAAAAGCACCCACATTTTTTAATAAGCTGACGATGGACATAAAATCAGTTACTCAAAATGGCCAAAAATGTCAGATAGAACTTTGTAATTCTAAGGTAGCGATTGGAGTCTGTCGTGTACTTATCATGTTCCCCACCGCTGTACTTAGTAGACCTTCGTTCGATTCCCCCGTGTGGGTGGTACTTCAGCCAGTCATCCCGTCTATCTGTTTCGACACTGTGTCCCATGAAACCCCTGGTAAGCGCTGACTGACACGGTTAAAGTAGCCGGTCTCCTAAATGATCTAAGTTGGTCCGGTGCAAAAGTAAATATTTCCAAGAAGATAAATGCATTACTCCTAATTGAGGTACTGAACACATCTTACAAAGGGTTTGATTTACCAAAAAGCTTTTTGCTGCCTCGTTTGAGATAGAGGCTAATGACATTTCTCACAAACGTATTTATTTAAAAGCAAGCGAGCAAAACAAAGAGAAATTAAACAAACTTGAATTAACAATAATCCTCCGCCGGCTAACACTTTAGATTATCTAGGGGCGCCCCGTCAGCTCAGTTGGTATCATGCTAAACTGCGGACCATTATGGCACCGGTTCGAATTCCAGTTCTTGAACCCGGGTCATTTGTTGAGTTTTCAAGTCTCTCGTCGACCCATTTAGCTCGATCTTATCGGAGTTGAAGGTTTAATTCGGAAGTTCCGCATCTTAAATAACCAAATAGTGTTGATAAGGACGTTAAACACTTACTGACTCACGTTTTAGCAAAAGCCGGTACAGAAATATGCACCAGCGATGAGCTGTATTGTATTGGTTAGGCGCTTCACCGTCGAAAGCATATGGCGTGAGTTCAATTCTCAAGTAGGGCGTCTTTTACCCTATCCATACGCCCTGGGGTCATTTTTTACCCCTGGGGTTGTATTCTTCACATTTTAGAATACTTCTAGTACGAAGATCTCTTTGAAACTTTCAGTATTTCTCAAAAAATCATTTTGACAGATTGCTATGCAAAACGTGTGGGTCGGATTAACGAGTAAATTTCCTCTTTGGAAAATGGTGGCACAGAGTTCCCCCACGTCGTATGGATACTATAGTAAGACACAATGTACGGATTCACCCAAAATCGAGTATCCCCCTCTTC